GCTAACTTCTGCTGGGCTAGGATAACTCTAGAGGGGCTTTGATAGAAGTTCCCAGGACCCCCTAAAGGCTTAAGCTCCACCTGCCCCCAGTGGCAGCTGGCTTGCTGTCCCTTGCATTGACCAACTCCCCTTTCCTGGACTTTGCCACCCATGAGGCCCCTCCACCTCTCAGATATTCCATTTACCCTCAATCCTCACCTTAGGGTCCTACTTCTGGGGGAAGCTCAAGGTTAGCCCTTCACGAAGGGATGAGTCTGTGAATTGGTGCTGGCAAGACATGCAGGGTGTTAGCGCAGGTGCCCTCCGGGAATCTTGAGGACCCCAACTTTCTTCCCCATCTTGGCAGGTCTTGGGAATTCTGCAAACATGAGACTCTGCCTGGTGGAGCAGTCAGAGCCTGGATGTGGGTCCCATCAATCAATGCCCTCAACCATGAAAGGACCCAGTGATCCACAGGCCTCAAGAACCACCATTCTCTGCTGACCTGCCTTCAACCAGGAGCAATTCCTGCAAACTGGCACTGAGTGGCTGGGAGCGGACTCCTGTCTCTACCTGCAGATAAATATGAGTGACCTTCCTTTGTGATGGATGGGCGCTGATGGCATTTGGGTACACAGGGACATGACAATGATGCCCTGCTTGCTGGGAGATGGATTCTCTTTCATACCAACAACGTGTCTCTTTGCTTTAACTTTGCTGAAGGGAATTGTGTCACAGTAGCAAGAATAATCATGGTATTAACAGCACTCTGACTTTCTATGAGCATTTGTTATGTTCAAAGTGTTGGGTAAAGTCTGCTGTCGCATTTAATCCTCACATACAGACTCTAAACTAGGTGCTGTTATAGCCCACCCCATCTCACGGACAAGGCAGTTGAAGCTTCTAGAAGGTTCAGTGACTTGCTTGAGATCCCACCTTGTTAAGAAGCGGAGTGGAACATCAAACCCAGTGCTAAGACACAAGGCTGCATTCAGGAACAGTGACACAATCTGGGGAGTCTGGTATAATACGAAAATCGGGGACCTTTTGTTTAGCAACAGTTAGAAGCTGGGGGTGCTGGTGATATACACTAAACAAAGCAGGGTCTCTTCAGAGCACTGGGGTCTGTGAGCCTGTGTGGACCACATGCCCTGTAGCCCATCCTAGGCAGATGGGCTTGGAAGAGAGAGAGAAGTAGGTGGACAAGGGCTTCCATGTTTCACCCTGTTTGCCTAGGGACTGGGCAGTGGATCACATTAAATCACAGGGATTCAGGGAGCCCAGCTGTTGGTCAGCAGGACGGGTCATTTTCCATGAAGTGCTGAATCACTTCATCTGACAGAGCTGCACAAATACAGCGCCCGCTGGACTTGCTTAGAGTCCGCGATGCAACTATCAGAAGAGACCAGACCTACAAGCCAAGTGGGTACTGGGAGTCTCAGGCCTGTGTGAAGTCCAGGAGGAGATGGACTACCAGACACACACTGGATGAGGCTTTGATTGGCAGGAAGTCAATGCAGATGCCACCAGTTTGACCCCGGCATTGAGCACTGGTGATGGGTCTGTGATGGTGAGTTTCTAATTGTCAACTTCACATCACCTAGAATTACCCAAAAAGACAGCCTCCCATGACTCCCTAGATCAGACTGGCCTGTGGACATGTCTGCGAGGGATCATCCTGATTGTTACTTGAAGCAGGATGACCCACCCCGAATGTGGGTGGGTCCTGGATTGTCTAAGAGCACAGAAAACTATCTGAGCGTTAGAAGCGAGCAGGCAGCACGGCTACATTCCTGACTCTGCTTTTGACTGGATGTGGTGACCAGTGGTCTCATGCTCCTGCCTCTGAGACTTTCCCACAATAAAGCATTGAGCACTGGTGATGGGTCTGTAATGGTGAGTTTCTAATTGTCAACTTCACATCACCTAGAATCACCCAAAAAGACAGCCTCCCATGACTCCCTAGATCAGACTGGCCTGTGGACATGTCTGCGAGGGATCATCCTGATTGTTACTTGAAGCAGGATGACCCACCCCGAATGTGGGTGGGTCCTGGATTGTATAAGAGCACAGAAAACTATCTGAGCGTTAGAAGTGAGCAGGCAGCACGGCTGCATTCCTGACTCTGCTTTTGACTGGATGTGGTGACCAGTGGTCTCATGCTCCTGCCTCTGAGACTTTCCCACAATAATGCACCGTGAGCCAAACAAGCCCGTCACTATCCTAAGTTGCTTTGAGTCAGGATGTTCTATTCACGGCAACAGAAATGAAGCTAGAACAGTATCCTATCAGCAAAGCGAGCCACCATCCTCCAGATTTCCGCGCGTCCCTCCTGCCCTGCTGGAGGAAGGCTGCCGGCTCTGGCACCATACACAGGAAAGCTAGCAGCAGCTCCAAGCTGATTCTGTGTCCTCCACCAGCTGTGCCACCTGGGCAAGAGTCCAGATCTTTCTGTGGCTTGGTTCTCTCATCTGTGAGGTCAGGATAGTGGTACCCACCTCTCAGAGTACCAAGTACCAATCTTCCTGCTCATAGTGGGGCTCGGTTCAATGCGAGGGGAGTCCAATGACTGTCTGGAGCACAAAACTTATGGAACAAAGAAAAAATACACAAACAGGGACTTGGAAGATGGATCGGTTGGCTAAGTGCTTGCCACATAAGCTTGGAGACCAGAGCTCCTCTCCCAGCACCCAGGTAAAAGCTGGGTTGAAACTGTGACCTCTAGGTTCAGTGAGAGACAGTCTCAAAAAATAGGGTGGAAAGTGACTGAGGAAGACTCAGCAGCCACCCATGTCCTCCACATGAACATGCATACACAAACACACATACGCACATGCACACGTCATGCATGCACTCAGACTCACTTATTCACATGTACATACCCCACATACATACCTGAATAGGTACACACACAGATGACACGTAGAAACCCCACATACATAGACACACCTGCACCCATACGTATCGCCCACATACACACATGAACACATAACATGCATACACAGAGAGGATTAACATCCCTTTCCATAAAATGGATGTATAATATCCATACCATATCACCACCCAGGACTCTAAAAATCACAAATGAGCAGGGAATTATAGAAATTGGAGAAGTTGGGACTGGAGACACAGCTCAGCAGTTAAAAGCACTAGCTGCTCCTGCAGAGGACCCGTGTTCAATTCCCAGTACCTACATGGCGGCTAACAATGGTCTGTAACTCCAGTTCCAGGGGATCTGACAATGTTTTCTGACCTCTTCAGGCATTGCACAACATGGGTGCACTTACACACATGCAGGCAATACACTGATACACATAAAAATATTTTTAAAAAGAAATAGGAGAAGTTATCACTTGCAGAGCCAGTCAGGACTCACTGGTAGGACTTGGAAGCGGTCTGAGCTGGGGAAAGAGTGAGAGAATGGTACAACACCCCCCCAGATACCCCTGACCTGCCTCCCTGCACCTCTCATACATGGTGATAATGAATCTAAGGAGATTTCTACTAAGGAAGCTGTTTGCAGTGTTCACCTTCTTGACCCCCAGTCTGACCAAGTCCATTCCCATGTACACTCTACTGTTAAATCCAGAAAGAAGGAAGAAAGAAAGAGAGAGAGAGAGAGAGAGAGAGAGAGAGAGGGAGGGAGGGGGGGAGGGGGGGAGGGAGGAAGGAAGGAAGGAAGGAAGGAAGGAAGGAAGGAAGGAAGGAAGGAAGGAAGGAAGGAAGGAAGGAAGGAAGGAAAGAAAGCAGTGACTCAGGCACAGTTCTGGGTCTGCAGGGGCAACTGTCCCACAAAGACATTCAAATCTTTACATATTTTATACATAACATCAATCATAAAGAGAAGTGTGACTTGGTTTATGCTCTCCTGGAGATGTGTCTACCCCTAACCCAATAGCTTTTGTACTTTAAGAAATCCAATGTGCAGAAAGGATTTGATTTTTCCTTGAAAATATGACACATATACAAAGCAATAGAATCTGACTCTTTCCTAAACTTTAAGGAAGGAGGCAGCGGTAGGAGGAAGATTGGCCCTCATCGAGTCATGTCCACGTAATTCATGGAGCCGAGCACACTCACAGCCCCTGTGTTTAACACCAAGGTCACGTTTTTCAGCCCATCCGAATTCTAGTCACTCACACACAGGGCCTGGGGACCGCAGACGGGAACTGGGAATCCTTCCTCGCCCTGCTCAAATTCTGGCCTCTTTAATAGCTTTCCCCATCCATCTTGCTGACCTGCTCTGTCCCTCAGCTTCTTTCAGTAGATTTCTGTAAGCATCAAACTCGAAATCTTTCTCTTTCTCTTGCTGGACATCCCCGCTCCATCCAAAGCAGCCCCTGGAGAGGTGGCATGAAATGATCTGACCCCATCTTCCCCTGCTCTGGCTGGACTGCACAGGCCTGTTCCACTCTTCAGCTGGACTGCACAGGCCTGTTCCACTCTTCAGCCTCCACCTCTCCCCCCAACGCCCTTGGGGCATACACAGCAAATTCACTGCATCTGTACAGAGTGTTTTCAAAGCCGGGAGGGGAGAGGCTCACTCCTGCCACAGGGAGTGATGCAAAAGCCCTGAGACCCAGCCCTTGAGGCTGAAGGGAGGCTTTAGGCATCTTGCATACAATTATTCACCTGGTAGTCTGGGGAGGTTACCATAGCAACATTTCCAAAGTCTCCTGTATCTACGTGTCATTGATACATCCCATCAATTCAACAAAGAGAGAGACACTCCAAGCCTCCGGCTCCTTTCTGGCACACTGACTATTTCACTCATTGTTTACACAGTCTTGGACTCAGCACCAGTAACAACTCTTAATATAGTGCATTCTGCTCAAACACATCTTGAAGCTTAAAATCAAAATCTACTCTAATAGGGACTTTTCTTCTCCCTTGTTCTTTACTTTCCCGAGTATTAAACTCTGAGCGACTTCTGTTGCCGGCCATGGGATGCTTTAATTAGAATATTCTGGCCCCCACAAAGAGCTCAGACCTTCCCTGATAGGTTAAACACACACAGAGAGGAATAGCAAGGGGTTCTATGGTTCCCTGGGGGTGATTTCCATAACAGCAGGAATGCGAATTTCTAGAGCGATAAAATATCTTGCCTTTGGCCCTTTGACTGAAGACAGAAGGTGTCTCCACACGTCTGCTAAGGAAAAGGGAAAAGTCCGGCCTGTCACATCAACATTGTTCTTATTGAAAAGCAATTATGGAAAGAAATCACAGAGCAATTTATATGGATGAATGTAGCTCTCATCAGAACTCCACAGGGACACACGGTTCCACCTCGAGTCCTTACGTAGTGAGCTAAATATTTACACAGTGTGCAACACTTAGCAGACATTGGAGGCTGTCATACTGGGGCTAGCACTCTTGGACACATGGGAAGATTTAGGCTCCAGCCCTCCAGTGATGCCAAGCCCCCCACCCCCAAGGTGATGCTCTAAGTGAGCTTCAGGCTCCAGCTCTCGCTTCCACACAGAAAAGTCGCACATAGAGGCTGCTGCACGTCAACAAGTTTGAATCCACCAAGATGACAGTGTCCCACTTTCAAAGCTACTGTGCTGATGGCGAGCCAGCACGACATACCTGTGGGTGATCCTTCCATCACGTGACCGATGTAGGGCCCTTCCCGAAAGATGGGCCTGTTGTCATTCTGATCAATCACGATGACTTCCAGGGACACTGGCCCCTCCAGAGTCTTGCCACTGACATCCGTGGTCTCCACAAACAGCTGTATGAGCAAAGGAGGGGGGGGGTCATTAAGTTATTTTGAAAACCAAACTCAGGTTCCTCACAGAAAATAGGTTATACCAGTAATTTTCTGAGCCCTTAGTGATATTCAAATTTTGGCTTCCGTGGGTTGTCACTGGGACAGGAATAGAAACTAAGCATTCTAGAATAAAAGGCAAAGATCAGCATGTGTTACAGCCCCCTTGGGAAATTCACAATTAAATCATCAAATCTGCAAAGAACATTAAAAAATAAAACAACAAAAAAAAACCCAACTTGCAATCAACCATACCTGGGAAAATGTGCTTTTATTTCTGTTTCCCAACATCGTTATCCTCAAAAGGAATGTTATGCTAATAGAAATAATTGACTAAGCAGTTATGAACACATTATGATGAGAGAACCCACAGTGCTTGTGGAGGTGTTGAGAACTCTGACCAATAAGCACCTAGCAGCACTCCTTGGGGAAAAAGCTTCAAGTGTGCAGGGCCCCTGATGTGGATTCAGGATTCCAGCCCACCAGGAATTCCCTTATGGTCAGGGACTTCACAATGCCATCAAGCACTTCCCCAGGGAAGGTCCTCCCAGACCTCAGCCAAGAAGGGAGGGAGGCCAATTAGCTGGAAGCAGAGCCTCGCGTCACTGAGACCCTGCCCTCCATTTTCTGTAATCAGCCTTGGTTTAAACTCAGTGGTGTTTGTTGACTATACGTGCTCACCCCTGTGGAGGAGATGACAGAGTTCTGGTCAGTGGATATCTTCCACACTTAAGACCAAAGCACAGGGTCACTATTGATGTGATTTTTACCAAGATATTCAGTGCTTGGTTTCCTCCTCAGTGAGGCGTCTCTCAACCCTGTCAAGCAGACTGCAATGAACAAACCTGGAAAGGTAGGTAAGAGTTACCCAGATGAACCAAGGGGTGGCTGGATAGAGGGACTGTTTTCACACACCACACATGCTCCTATACACACTTGATTGATGGGCAGATAAAGTAATCCTGGGGTACCTTAATTAAGAAAAGAGATGGATAAAGCCTTCTAGTACTGACACTCACCAATCTTACAGAGAAGAAACTTCTGCGCTTTATGTTTTGAAAGTTACTATGAGATTACAGCCAGCCAAGGAAGTTGATCAGATGGAGCTTTGGAGACAATTTGGGGAACTAATAAAGATCTTTAATTCAACTAAAACCCTGTGACTAACGATAACAACAATCTCACAACTGACTTTTTAACTTCCACACTTTTACAAAGATTTGGGCAGTGTCATAAACTACAGGAAGGTCCCCTGTTCTGTGATACGGGGTGCTCAGAGTGACACAAGGCAGTATATTTCACGACCCCGCGAGGTCGGGTACCAACACAGACAAAATGGCAGGTGCACCAATTGGGCACGGAACCTTCTTATAGTGCTGATCACAAGTCCCTGCCCCTCTTCACCCTTGACTGGATGGTACAATCTTTGCCATGAGCCACTTACACTTTATTAGTTTGATTACTTTCTCAATGCACGCTGTGAATAACCAGGTAGCACACTGCCTGTATTTTTCTACCCTGAGATAAATTTTTAGTTTAAATGAAGGATACGCCAAAAGGCTCAGACAAGCTATTGGGGGAGGGAACCCAGTGTCTCCTGCCAATCCCAAGCCTTTGTCCATCTAAGGCATTTTTGTATGAAAACTGGGCCATGATATTTTGTTTCTTACAGGAGAGTCAGAGTTCAAATATGCCAAAAGTACAGATGTATTGAAGGGCAGATTCTAGACATGTTCCAACATGGGGGCAAGTCAGAAAAAAGGAGCTAAGACTGACTGGAAAAACACAGCACCACACACATTAAGGGGCTGTGGATGGAGCCCAGTAGTACAGTGCTTGCCTAGCATGTGTGAAGTCCTGGGTTTCATGCCAGTGACAGACAGACAGACAGACAGACACATACACATACACATACACACACACACACACACACACACACACAGAGAACAGGTTGAGCTAAATCTCAGAAACCAATCATGTAAGGAGACAATTTGATGGTATTTTATGTCATAAAACTAGCCAGGGTTCAACTCTCAGATTATATTTTAATGGATAACATTGTTAACAGAAGCCAAGAATTTGTTTTCCCTTCCCTCCTTCCCTCCCTCCCTCCCTCCCTCACTTCCCTTCCCTTCCCTTCTCCTGCCTTCCTGCCTTCCTTCTTCTATCCCTCCCTCCCTCCCTAACCAAACCGTTATCCATAGAACAGCAACATGTTCCCATTCCTCCCGCAGTGCACAGCAGTTCCAGTTCTGCACATTGTTTTGTCTTTTTTCTTCCTTTTTTTTTTTTTTGACAGGGTCTCCCCTAGCCCCAGCTAGCCTGTAACTCTATGTAGATTAGACTGTCCTTGATCTCAGAGATGCGCCTGCCTCTGCCTCCCGGGTGCTGGGATCAAAGGCGTGCACCACCACACCCAGCACGGAAGCTGAGAATCTGAAATGGTTTCTATGAACAGCAGAGAATTACTAAGGGCCTCCCCTCATCTTAAAGATAACGATGAAAATTCGTTGAAAACTTGCAGCTTGCCAGGTGCTGTGCTCAGTAACAGACACAGTGCTGAACACAAGAAGATGCTTTAGTGCAGAGAGATGTACCAGAAGGGGAAAACGACACAACACAAATTCAGCTGGAGACAGCAAAGCACTAAAACTTGACCATGGGGACCAGTGGCTATGGACACTGATATCTATTAAAACTCAGATCTCTTATCTAAGCAGCCATGTTCAACAGCTCAAGTGCCACATGTGGCCAGTGGCGATCTTACTGGATGGCACAGATGGACTTTCTTTCCATCGCTGTGGAGATCGAGCCCTGGGCTTCCAGGTGCTTAAGCAACTGTGTGCTGGGGGCGGTGCGTATCTAAGATAAAATGGTTGACGACACCTTATTATTTCAGTGAGATTTGAGTGATAAGCAAACAGAAGGAGCTGGCCATGCAAAAATGAAGGGCCAGAGAGTTCTAGAGGTCTAGAAGATTCAGCGCAAAGGCCCTGGGGTAGGCACAGACTTTATAAGGGAAATCTTATTTGATTAAGTCAAAGAATAAGTGCTTAAAGCAGCTTTTGTCCCTGTTTCTTTGTACAGCAAACCCTGAGCCACATGGGGAGACTGTTTTCCTCTGAATTTCTGGGAAGGCAGAACAAAGGGGGGGAATGGATAACCTCTTTGTTCCTAGCAGAGGAAAACCCAGTAGACTAAGATACTAATAGGAAGTGGTGGTTTACTGAGAGGTCATCCTAATTTGAAAAGGCACATTTGTAATATGATAAGCGAACGCCAGTGCGTGATGAGGCAACAGGTTACCCCACCGAGACCTCTGTGAAGAAATCGGACATTTGGAGCTGGGGAAGTGGTTTGCCAGGAGAGCCCAAGGACCTGAATCTGGATCCCCAGAGCTGCATTAAAGCAGGACATGGCAGCACATGTCTGTAATCCTCATACTGGGGAGGCAGGGACAGGAGGATCCCTGGGGCTTGCTGGCCTGCCTGTGTAGCTGAACCAGTGAGCCCCAGGTTCCGTGAGAGACCCATGTTTTAGCTCTATTCCTGTTGCTGTGATAAAACACCTGACAACTGTACCTTAAGGAGGAAAGGGCTTACTACTTTAGTTCTCAGTCCCTTAAATCTGGGAAATCAGAGGGGCAGGAACTTGAGGGACTTGGTCCTATCACGTCCAAAATTGGGAACAGAGAGCAGTGAATTAATGTAGGCACACTCTGTACCCTCAGCTGGCCTTCTACACTTTCACACAATCCTGGATTCCCTGCCTAGGGAGTGGGGCTGTCCATCGTGAGTGCGTTAACAGAACTCAATTAACAAAATCAAGATGTCTCTCCACAGCCTTACACGGAGGTCAACCTGATCTACATGATGGTCACTGAGACTCCCTCCCTTCCCTGCTTATCCTGGATTGTGTCAGGTTGATAACTGAAATGAAAAGCGTGCTCTGTCTCAGAAAATTAGGTGGGGAGTGATTGAGGAAGACACCTGACGTTGGCCTCTGGCCTCCGTGTGTGTACACACACACACACACACACACACACACACACACACACTTGAGAAATGATGTCCTTGTGAACTGTTTGTAGCCCTTATATGAAGGCCAGCACAGCGAGCAAGTGTGCATTTTCTGAAGGATGCTCCCACATCCCGTGGGGGCCGCCAGTGTCAGAAAATCGATGATCAATGATGTCCTGGCCTTCCCTTTCCCTTCCTCAGTGAAATACCTGAAACGCACAAATCTTTCCTTTGAAAAGCCCCAAAGAGCATTGGTTTCCTGTGAATGACACAACAGATTCTAGATACTGTGTGGGAGGCTCAGAAACAAAGCAAGATGGGGCAGGCAAAGGGGATGGTCCCCAGGCCCCTGCAGCATTTCTGTGGGGGGAAGCTGTGCTTTGAAGCCCATCCGGAGAACGGACCCAGGCCCTCCACAGAAAGCTGTGAAAAGATCCCAGGAAGTGAAGGGAAATGAGGTGGTAACCTCTTGCTGTTGCTTCTAGACTAAGTAGTCAGCCTGGAGGGCTTTTGCTGTCAATGGTTAACTTGTCTGGGAACAGTGAGGTAGACACCCCAGCTTCTTTCCTCTGCCTCCCTCCCTCC